TAATAGCACAAAAAAACCCTAGGCCTGATCCTAGTGAAATAAATGAAGCTATAAAGCTCTTCTTCTCAGAGTTAGCAGACCTTGATTATGAGCCTAGTTATAATGATCATACATATTTTCAATATTTGTCTAATAGTAAAGATGATATCACTCTTCTAGATGCCTATCATTCTGAGAAAATTTTTGATAAATATATTATTCAGATAGCAGGGAAGGGTTTTACTATAGTTGATCACTCATCTGAAATTTATAGGATTTCCAATACTCATAAGTAAATTAATAGAAATTTGCTCCTTTGCTTCATTCTAGACATCAACGCGAGACAGTACCCTGATCCTACAAATCCTAAACTCCCTTCTTTAGATAAATATAAAATTTTTCACAAAGATTTATTATCTAAAATCTTAATTACCTATACTAATATTCTATACTTTGATTTAAAACATTTTGTAACTTTAAATGCTTTTACCTTAGCCAGTTCATCTAATGCTAACAAATGTAGTTGGCATATTGTATATAATTATACATATTATATTGACTATAGAGATCTTAGAGATTTTGTGGAAAAAGTTGCTAATAGATTGAGAAGCTATACTTAGAATTTATTGATATAGGACTTTATAAGTCTCACTTCAGTCTTCAGCTTCTTGAATTAGTTAAAGAAGATAGAGTTAAAAGACCTGCAATTTTTTTAGTCAAGAAAGAATATTACAAGCTAGAAGATTATTTAGTTCAACCTAAGTTAGATGCTTCTGAAATCTGGTCCCGAACTTTTTCTTCTGAAAAATCAGAAAAAGAGGAGTTTCAACTCATCAAAGATGAAACTACCTAAAACAAGGGAGCTAGCTTAGTTATCACAAAGTATGAATAGCTTGAGATCAGAAAAGCTGAAAAATAGTTTATTACCTTTTATACTAAATCATTTACGAAATGCCCTATTTGCAATATTAAGTATGAAAAGAATCAGTTGTATAGCTTTCTCTGAAAAGATAGATATTTTATACTCAAATGCTATCAGCAAAAATAATACAAACCTGATCATAAGAGATTAGTATTTAGAAAAATAACTAAAATTTCTGCAAAACCTAAGCGAAGAATAGTCGAAAGAATAGCTAATGTTATATCAAATCCATGCTCTCTTGTAGAATTATCAGAGATGGCTATTAATGTAGAAAAATTAAAAGATGCTTCTGAAGCATATTCTGATTTCTTGAGTACTAAGAAAATAACAATTCTTATTCATTCTCCTTCAGGAACATGGAAAACTACTGCATTAAGAGAGATTATTATGGCATTGAAAGATAAAGTACATGATATTTCTTCTTTGCTATACTTTATCTGGATATCTTACTGAAAGTCTCTTAGCAATGAATCAAAAGTGAAACTTGATGAGTTGGAGGCATCAGATTTTCAAATTTGCAACTACTAAAATATGCAAAGAGACTTATCTATAAATGAGTAGGACATTATTATAGTATAGATTGAAAGTCTTTTCCATTTTGAATTCACAGCCTGTCTCTTTGTGGCTATTTTTGATGAGGTTAATGCTATTATGTACCAAATGTCTAGTGATACAAATGCACAAAAATCTGAAAATACAATATGTGATATCTTAAGATTTGCAAGACATGTTTTGGCTATTGATGCTTTTGCAAATGAATCAACATTAGCATTTCTTAAGGCATATTATGGTGAAGATATTCACATAATTAATAATAAATACTAGCCTCATCTGGGTGAAACAGTTAAAATTCTTTATGATCCAAGTAGTAGAGCTGAAGCTATAAGAATAGGTTATAAGTTTTTAAGGCAGGGTAAACATGTAGTATTTGTATTTACTAGAGTAGTGATAACTAGAGTATTAGTAGAAAAAGTGTCTAAGTTATTTAAATTCAATAATTTGTCTATTAGAGCCTATGCATACTATGGGGATATGGATGAAAAACAGAGACAAAAAAACTTTTTTAATATTAATAATGCCTGAGGTGAACTTGACTGTATAGCCTATACAAATGCTGTAGAGGCAGGAATATTATTCGAAGTTATGGGCTACTTTGATATAGTTATAGCTATTACAAACATCGCCACTTCTGTTCATATTGAGGCCCTTGCACAAATGCTTTATCGAATTCATGACTTTTCTCATCGTATTATTTCTATGTTCTATTAAAAAAATTCTAATGAGCTTTTTCGTCTACTAGGTCATAAAAATATTCGAGCAGAACTTGAAAGTTCTCAACCTAATAATTTACCTATAGTAATAAAAAGACATCATGAATAGAATAATAATACTATTTCTTATAAAGTTGATGAGTCTCTAGCTATAATAATATTCATTGAAGTTGAGCATCAGAAATTTCTTTCTGTAAGATATTTTATTGAGAAGCTTTGTAGTCTTATAGCTAGTACTGGTGTTTCTCTCCAATTAATAAAAATAGATGAGAGCTGAGGAGTTATAGAGAACTGTAAAAAAATCTGTAATAAGGTTAGAGTTGAAGTATTAGTTATTAAAGAAACAGATTTTAATACAGTTGCTACTTCCTAGAATCTTGGTTCTGAAGAAGCTGAAAATCTTAAGTTTAACCAAAAACGCTCTATTCTATTTACTATAGCTCTTAAACGTTTCTATATATGAAATATTTATGGCTGTAAAGATATAAGTACTGAAGATTAGGATAATCTTTGTAATAAGAAATTTGTAGAATGTTTTAGTCTATCTGAACCTTGGAAACATTTTTTATACTTATCTCATTTCCAGAAGCAAGGTTGTGATGAAGATAGTACAATAGAAGGTTTGGTTGCTAAAGACTTTGCACAGTAGGAGGATACCTATTATATAGCTGAAAAGAATTTAGAAAAATCAGTAGTGGAGGACTTACTAAAAACTATTCAGCAAATCATTAGAAAGTAATGCAGAAACTTTTTAAGATATTAGGCTTTACAGATATAGATGACAAGCATATCCTTCCTAGTAATATTATATCAGAAACATTTACACAATCCTATAAGAGATTTATAAAAATCTGAAATCAATCCTTACTACTCTTTGGTTTTAAATCTTATGCTAAAGCAATACCAAATCTTAATTCAGCTATAAAGGTAATCAATACAATTGCTGGTAATTGGTGTGACTATATAGTTAAAAGCAATCAGAAAAAAATAGATCTCAAAGAATAGTGTATTTGGGAATATTTATACAAAATTAATCACTAGGCATATGATGGTCTTGGTTTTGAAGATAAAGGTGCACCAGAACTTTTACTATATAGGCTAAATACAGATAATGAGGTTCAGAAACTCTTTGATTCTAAAAGATAAGAAAAATTATTATTCAGCTAGGTGTCTTGATTATATCTGATTCTATTTTAACTTTTTTACCTTCATACCAGGCTTTCTTATAAATTTCGATATATGAGCTACAGATTCTAGTATCAGAATATGTTAGTTTATTACAGATAAAGCATATTGTTTTAGAACAGGCTTTATAATGTCTAATGCATTCTAAATCACTCATACTCCTATTCCCACAAATCAAACTATCTCTCTTGATGTATTAGCAGAAAAAATATTTTATATGAGCTAATTTTTTGATATTAATAATCTCAAAACTTCATCTTCACTTTTATTATAGATATTCAAAAATACGATGTTATATTTCTCAAGATATAATCAAAGAAATGCATATCTGGTTCAAAGAACTAGGGTCATTATAGTGATAACTACTCCTCTAGCTTAGCCAGATAAAATATTTTTTTTTGAATTGAACTTTTTCTATATGTATAACTAGGTAATAATTGTAATCTAGTTATTATTGATATAGCTACTACAAAAACTGCTCTAAAGACCTGAAAACCCAAAACTAATAATTATGCTAGTATCTTAGATCAGTTCTTAAAAAAGTATAATTTGTCAGCTAACTCTACTCTAGAACAATTAAGTGAACATGCTTCTGAACTTAGTATACTATTTCTGAATTGAATAGCTCGTAAGTGCATTAAAGTTGCTCTTGCTAAACACAAATTTAGTAAAGAGCAAATAGGAGTTCTTGTGCTAGACAAAAGAAAGAAAAAGCTCACCATTGAAAAAAGAGCTCTCTATTATGCCAAAACTAGTGATGAGTAGGATATTTATATCTATGCTCTCGATTTAGGTTCAAAAAGTAATGACAAAATTGTTGCTTCCTGTTTGCGATTCTCTCTATTTTGTAATAAATTAGCAAAAGCTAGTATTGCTCAAGAACTTATTGATATTTATACTAAACTTCTAGGTGTTATCATGGCTTCTAACAAAATTCAGAAAGAACAGACTAAACAAGATGTAGCCAATAATCAGTTAAAAATTCTACCACATTTCTCCTTAAAAAAAAGACTTAAAAGAATTCAAAACATTGATACTACCAAAGATCCCTTATTACAGGATTTTGCAGATGTAATAGTAATATTATGTATAAGACCTGCTAAAGTATCTAGCCTCCAAATTGATCACTATGAAGTTGACCTATCTAATCCTTTGGCATAGTATAAAAATAGTTATTCTTGGTATTGCACTAGATATGCTAAAAATAAAAAAGAAAATAAGGATAATTCAGAACCTCACCTATTCTTATTAATGAAGAAGAACTCAAAACATACAAGAGTATTGCTTATCTAAATTCAAGAGGATATAAAGGTCGGAAAGTTAAGTGATCCTACCTTTAGTAAAAATAGAAAATGTAATACTAGGGTATTTAGCAAGTTTTTGAAGTCTTATAAAATCATGTCTAAAATATTAAGAAAAATAGAAGAAAAACATGTTTGCAAAGTTCACAGTAGTCCAAACCTAATTCATCAGCATCTTGATCTTCTTAACAGAATAGCATTGAGGCATAAGATTGTTTATCTAGATGTGGAAAAGAATTATGCTATAGGTGATACAGAATCAGAAGACTCTGATCTCGAATCTGAATCTAACCAAGCACTTAGCCTAATCTCTGGATCTCAGGCCTCATTATTCTAACCTAAAAACAATAATTCTAATCCTTTCGAATCTCAAATAGCAGAAATTGATTTAATGCTAGTTAGCTTCTAAAAACTGCTATATTCTAAATCATATCTTAGCTTTTTCGATAAAATAAATATATGAAAGTGTTTTTATTTTTTAAATCAGATAAAGAAGTAGAACAGATACTCATAGCAATAGCAATCTAGCTATTTTCAGCAAACCTTCACAATTTATTTTTTTTATCTAGTGAAGAAATCAGCTAAGATACGTACGAGTGAAAATTTAGTAAATAAAATAAAAATGTCTTAGTTAGATAAAACAATATATTTGATATATAATACATTTATACAACTCATTCAATATTCAAGATATTTTTGAAGAATAGACAAAAAATAGTTATATCCAATACATGTTAACTGAATATAGTTTAAACTATATCAATAATCTAAAAACACCAGAAGCTTAGTTATGATTTGCGAAGTATCATCCACTCAAATATATATGTGAATGTTTATTAATTCCTAGATATGAAATTAATAGTAAGAATCATTGGGAAAACTTCATATTCTATATCAAAAATTATTTGACCAGCTATAAGCAAATAAGTAATGATCCTAAATATAGAGATTTTAAAGTTCAACTAGCATACTTCCTAACTTTGACTAAAAAAATTAATCAGCAACTATAGAAGATGCACAAGATTAGTATTATGACACAATGTTACTTTGGGGGTTTGACTCTTTGAGTTGCTTCTATAGGGCTTGCGAAGCAATAATCCAAAGGGCCTAGAGGCATTGCCTCCTTACTTCGTGAATCAAAATATCAATAAACTTGAAAATTGCTAGCAAAGATCGAGTGATCCTCTTATACTAAATAATTAATGAATGAACGGATTGCCAAATCTGAAATTAGTTTTTATAATATATGCAAATTAAATTTTTTAGTTGTGAAGGTGAAAATATATAAAAATAATCAAAGTATATGATTAATTGCAAATACTTATCTGACTATAGCCTTTAATAATATATACTTCGACAATCTAGATCATGATCCTATTAGCAGAGCAGAAATCAGAGATTCCAAGTTACATGCATTTGTGATGTCATATGTGTCTTGGATCAATGAATCGATTACTATAAAATAATATCTATGTTGTGTTTTTGCTCAAACTTTCTAGCATATTCTCAGTAGCATATACGTAGTACTTAGTCTATATATTGAAGTTTCTATAATATAAGGAATGATATGTTAGTCTTTCTACTTTTACTAATAAAATAGAATAAATTTGTTAATGATTAATTATACATAACTTTACCACTAAATATACTTAGAGTAGTAAAATTATATCCAATACTTAACCAAAAATTGAGTAGTATTATAAAAGTTAAATTCTAAATAAGATCGCATATCACCCTAATGTTATTTCAGAAGTCAGTTATTAATTGTATGAAAATTCATATATATGTGTACATTAGTGTGATCTTAATGTGATAGTTAGTATTGTAATTATAAATATTCATCAGATATACTAGCTTTAGCGTAAGCAACCCTTCAGCTAATAAATATCACTTATCTTACTTAATGTTATCTGAACTGTGTATTTTTAAGTTTCTAGATCCAGATCCCTATTCTCAAAATCAGAATTTACACTCATGTTTTTGATGATAAATTAATAATAATGCGATAATAATATAATTAATATTTTTTTTTCAATATATTCTGGCCTTTACTAACAGAGAAAATGAATTAGATTCTAAGACGTGAAATCTTAATCTTATATAAAAAGGATTCAAAAATCTTTAGTATACTTCTCTACTATTTTCTCTGTAATAATATCTCCAAAGGGGGTATGGCTAATAAAACAATAAGTTATTCTAGCTACTTTGTAATTGCCTTTAGTAATAAATCACAATAACTAATAAAAAAAATTAGGTATTTGTCAGCCTTCAGCTAATTCTTCTAAAACAAAACAACATACCTGTAATTTTTTTTAAAAATAAGATGTCAGTATTACAATAGCCTAATTAATTTGTTTGTACGTTACTCTGCACTCATGTATCTATACTAATAATCTTTTTTTCTTGTTATAGATGTCTTCGATCAATGTTTCAGAAATTGCACTATTTTTGGCCTTTGTATTAATAATGATGTTTGCTGAGAAAATTCCTGTCTATCTGATTTTCATTGCCATGTACTCTGTTACATATGTCATTAGACAGCAACTTACTGCAGAACTCGATGCATATATGGAAAGATTAACCACAGATCTTACATTATGAGATGCCACAATTGTAGTCGAGGAACAGAGAATCCTGACAATGGTAAATACTGTGATTGAAACTATTAATGAAATCACTACCAATTATGAATCCTTTCATGACTAGTTGGACCAAATAACTGAGACAGGTTCTGTGGTACCATTAATATCTAAACAATTTGCTAGCCTATCTGTATCTACTTTAATTTTTCTTGAAGATCTTCTAGTTCTTCTCTAGGTTCTTCTAGTAGCTCAAGTTAATTATCTTTTTCTAATATTACCTTAACAACCAAAAACTACTTTAAAATTCTTTTTGATAAGATTATGATAGACAATAATTATTCTTTAGATGATATGTATAATATGGTGTCTGTTGAGATTCATAGTCTTGAGATGAGAAAGATTAGTAAAGAAACTATAAAAAATTTTTATTATAATAATGGTAATTTTAGAGATAGTACTTTAAATAAAATAGGTGCTTGAATAGATAGTAAAAATAATTTTAACTTAGCAGATAATATGGAGTAGCAGAAAGGAACTTTCATTTTATGAGTTAGGGCTCGAGTGATTCCTCTCTTTAAATGTCTGCTACTCTTGAGTTTTTTACTTAGCTTGCCCTAGCCCATTTTCATTCTTATAATAAAGTTATATTCTATTATTACTTGATTTTTAAATGTGTCTGGTCGTAAATTTGAAGTGAAACTTCATTGCTATACAATCAAAATTAAAAGTTATTATGATCTTTCAGTTTGAGGTCCGTGTAGTACATATCATC